GACTTCCAGGAAATGTGCTGAACTGGTAAATATACGGTAGTGTGCAGTACATAAACACTGTCAATTTGCCCTGAATAAGCAAAGTGACAGTGTTCCGTTAAGGCAAGGATAGCCCCCCCCAAATGTGAAACATGTTTTTGTTCACGCAGTCAAATGCGCACACATGCATAGTCAAAAACACTGAATGAGTTTTTTTGCTGAGTTTTTTGCGTGTGCATGCCCATAAAAAACAAATTAAACTGTTTAATAATTTCCATTTAAAAAACAGAGGTTTTAGTTGCACAACATTTGCAGACATATGTGGAAGCTACACTACCACATGGAGACTCCTCTGTCTAGTGTAGTTCTCACTCTTATCCAGCCTTTCTCAACCAGGGTGCCTTCAACCTTCCTCAGGAGTACCTCAACATGTTTGCAGTTAATCAAGCCCTTCCATGTTGTAGGCAGACTTCTGATGTAAAGGGAGAACTGATGTGAAGGGGGGCTCCTGGTGTACAAGGGGGGACTCAAATGTCAAAGGGGAGCTTCTGATGTAAAGGGGGGTTCTGATGTAAAGGGGGCAACTGCATTTTTCTTATGTGTTTTTGCGTAGGGTTGCCCCTTAAAATCCACACCAGACTCCTATCTGGGATAAGGGTCTGGTATAAATTTTGGAGGGGGCCACACGTTTTTACATTCACATGATTTACACATTAATGGCACTGAACCATTTTACACATTAATTGCACAGAACCATGTTTAGCACACAAGCTTGATGTGAACAGGCCCTTAAGCAGCCTTAAGTTTGTTTTTTTTTTTCTGGGGGCTCCAGCAGCACACTGTAGGGCGCATATTAAGTTGTGCTGGAATGAGATGTGCTAGAATAAGCAAGCACCATGGTGCTGCTTGTGCTGCAGCTCTAAAAATTGGACCTAAAGTGTAAAGGTAAATTATGCACATCTTGTGACTGGCCCAACAATGTTCTAGATAAAGCATAATGATGTTACACTGTGAAGATAAATATTTAAAAACAAAGAAACCCAACCTTTCTAACACTTTCAGGCCTGGGGAGATCACCGATTACCGTATGCATATTGGAAGATTGATGTCAGCCCTCCTTCATAACATTTCTTCATAAAACTATGCCTCCACTGGCTCCTTCAGGTCCAGTTTTTTCCTGATCTTGGCACTTATGAAATCTATGCATAATCCATCAGATATGAGTTAACACTGCACACCCTGCCTCCCTCTGGTCCAGTATTTGTATAATCTTGGCAATACTGAAATGAATGCATAACGCAGTAGGAAGGAGCTCAAGTCTTCCATGTAATCCATAAATATATTTTCTCAGACAACATGACTGTACAGTTGCCTCTTTTTCTCTATATCCCATTGTCATGTAGTCCTACTGGCCAGGAAAGGGCGTTTTTTTAGGTAGTCGGAAATTAAGCACATGAATCATGCAGTTGTAAAACAAATACCTGTTGATTATACTGGTACAGAAAGTGAGATGCCAAACGGCCTCTGCAGTCTTTAAGGACATGTTGGCTTGTGAGTACTGTAATATGTCAGCAGTGTGTTTAAAATGGCCAGGGGAGTCTTGGTGTATTGCTTCTGTTACATTGTAGTGGCATAATTAGTGCATTGTGCAAACCTTATTATTTGACATAAAGTTTATATAGATTGTTTTAATGAACAAAGGGCTTCATGTTTTTAGTTCTACTTTTGACCCTGGCAGTATTGCTTCTTAGAAGATTGAGAAATACTATGCTTTAAGAGATCAGTGTTATGCAGACCATGCATATCTACTAATTGTATGCTAAAGATGTAACTAATGTGAGGTTCACTGGAAACAATCATAGCATGTGGAAGCAGGGAAGGTCTGCTGGGAAAATATGGGAAATA